TCTGCCTCTGAGTATCCAGACTCATCCTCTGTGTAGAATAGACAGAGGGCGAGTCTGGCAGGCCAGGCTAGAATCTCAGGAGGTAGCAGGTTGTCCAGTGATCAGAGGATCGTGCGATCGATCCCAGCTCCTGCCTTGCAATCTGCAAAGAGAACAAAACTGACTTTGTGCAATAAAATGCAAATGCAGCTAATGCTTTGGCAGCACTCAAGGGGGAATCTGGCACCCCCATGCCCCTTTAGCCTACAAAAGGCCTTGTGGGATGGAGTCGTAAGCCTTCACAAGGTCCACAAAACACATCTGGACTGGAAAACTAAACTCCCTTGTTGATGACAAATGTGCAGAGAGAGCCTTCTTTCCAAACCCTGAATTAGACCCTAGATTAAACTTTCCCTGGGAGGCAGACAAGTTAGTTACCCCTGACAAATTTTGACTTACAGTTACTTTTATTCAACCAGCAAGTTATTTTTTGACGGGAAATGACGTAGGCGTCTCCCAGCAGATAAAACGATGTACACGAGGTATTACTGTGCCAAAAAAACCTTTGTCAGCTTTTATTTACATTTGAGCAAAAGGTGTCATGTCTGCTGTTTTACACCAGTTGAGTTGATTAAAACAGCAGCTCCTACATAATCTGGGTAATCACGATGCTTTAGAACAGTTTGGACTATTTGGAATGGATTAGAGCTTCAGATTTTCCCAGAGAGACAGTTTTTGAAGGGTATGAATAATCTTGGATATGACACCTTTTGCTCAAATGTAAATAAAAACTGAGAAATGTTTGTGGGCACAATAATGCCTCTTCTACATCGTCTTATTATCTTTAGGGCGACGCCTATGTCATTTCCCGTCAAACAATAACGTGCTGGTTGAATAAAAGTAAGTAAGTTAAGATTTGTCAGGGGTATGATTAATTAGGGGCAGCACTGTACATGTGCATGTGTAAGGGGGGTCAGCGACCTCACAGCACTTCCAGAAGTCTTGGTTTGAACTGGTCGCATCCTGTTTGTTTTTATGAAAAACTCTCTTGCATCACAGTTTTCTTTTTGGCTCCAAAGGGCACCGTGTACACAGAATACACCAACCTGTCCTTCTTTATGCCATCATCAACTAGTAGCAGGTGCAGGTGCAGGTCCAGGTGCAGGTGATGTGGGATAATAAACAGATGATGAAGCTGTCACAGCAAGGAGGGATCAGATCAAATATGATGGAGCGACAGAAAGAGGCACGAATGGGAGAACTCTCCATTCATCAGCAGACTCGGAACAGACAAAAGGAGGGAAGTGAACTAGGCCACGTGCCAGCTCATGTTAGCTCCGAGTCACCCCTCCCCCCATCTGGACCCTCATCACAAATTAGAGGGATCTCTTCTTGCTTTTTGAACTCCAAGCTCCTTTGCATCATTTCCTTTTCCTCCCAGCTGGTTGTGAATGTGGAGACGCAAGCTGCTTCGCCGGGGTTTCTCCAGCAAGCTGTTGTCCTGTTCAACCAGACTAGTGGCATTACAAACGGCTACTCATTCGCTCAGTGTGACATAATGTTCATGCCTGACTCATTCAGCCTGTCGTGTCCTGCACCGTTGTGTTTTTTTCCAATCAAGACAAGTTCTCACATTCACATAAATCACAGGAGTCTCCTACTAAATCCAACGGTTCCCAGTTGTGACTCATCACCACCTGTGGCAAGTTTCAGAGAACAGGTGTAACAGGGCATTGTTTTTTTTTTTTTTTTCCAGTTTCAACTCGACGATCCTTCAAATCCAAAAAACCTTCAAAAATAAACAAAACATTAGTGGTTAAAGTTTTATTTTGAGGCAAAGAAGCATTTTTGTTCCCAGGGAACTTGCAAATAATCGTTTAACAGCCTGCACTGGAATTTCCTTCTGCACCTTAACTAGAAACAGTTTATAAAAAATAAACAAACACGGGGGGAAATGAATCATTTTAGTTCCTCAGCTGTCAGTTCTGTCATGGTTCTCCCACGTCAGACTTCAGCAACATTTGTCTACCAGACTGCAGGTGACAACAGCAGAGAATGAGTGGTGAGTGGGCAAGACGCACACGCACACACACACACACGCACACACACACTTCAACAGCCCAACTCCGATTGCACCTGGCCCTGCATAAGCCCCGTATTTGCTTAACAGCAGAAATAAGTGCACCAGTGAGGAAGAGGGCTGAATCATTAGAGAGGCAGAAGAACAGTGTGGAGATAAGCAGAGAGGAGAGAAAGAGATCATCCCTTTAATGTTAATTGCACCAAGCCTTTTTATCATGCCAGCCGTTTGCTCATAAAAGCTCCTCTTACATGTAGTTGCTTGAAGTTTGCAGCGAGGTCAGATCGGAGTCATTACAGCGGACCAGGATGTGGAAGTACAGCTTAAGGCAGAGGATGTTGTTGTTTATGGTGAAGATCTTGTTTATCATTTAATCCACGGCCTTTGCGAGAACAATTTTATATTCATGAAGCAGATTATACAGAGCAGCTGTAGAACGTCTTAGTGTTCATGTGCTGGTTGTGAGCACTTCTCTTTTCCGTGATTCTAGTGAGAGGAACAACTGCTTTTTGGCATTTCTATTCCTCCTGCAGAAATGTTTTCAACCTAAGGTTCCTGTTAGGATACGTGTCAGATGTTAAGGGTGTCCTACAACTACTTTGATATAGCACCTTCTAGAGTTCTACAACCCCCCAAAATGCTAATCACACACACACACACACACACACACACACACACACACACACACACACACACACACACACACACTAGAGGGCTTTAACAGCGTGTTAGATAAGACGAGACTTTCCTCCTTTTTACTGCCTCTGGCTTTTGGAGTCTTTGTCCGTGTTGAATAAACAGTCCACACACACACACACACACACACACACACACACACACACACACACACACACACACACACACACACACACACACACACACACACACAAACACAGATAGTACTGAGCTACATTGCAGTACTGACAGCAGCTAGGCTGCACACTGTCTCTAAATGCTTGCAAGCGTTCACACACAAGAATTTCAGAGCCTCGTGTTGCTGGAATCTGAATAGTTCAGATTTTTGTGAGACAAACATCCTCTCATAATAAGATTTTCTAAAACTTTCAAGTTTAGTTTGTGTGAAAGTAATGATTTCCCCACCATCAACAGCCCAGTGTGATACTGGTTTTAGTAAGTCTATACACACACACTGGAAACACACCCACAAAACTCATCAGACACCAGGCGGTGTCATAACCCCCCCCCTACACACACACACACACACACACATACACACACACTTTAACAGCGTGTTAGATAAGACAAGACTTTCCCCCTTTTTGCTGCCTCTGGCTTTTGGAGTCTTTGTCCGTGTTGAAAGCATAGTACACACACACACACACACACACACACACAGAAACAAATACACACCTCACACTCAGACCAGTTTATATCTGTCTCTTAAAATCCCTTCAAATATTTCCTCCGCAAAGCATCCAGCCAAAATTCAAGTTCCTTGTGGGAGCGACTGACGCAGATGTTTATTTTTATTAATACGACGGTTCCTCTTCTATCCGAAATGTTTACCTGATGTTTATGCAACAGCAGATTTCAGCCATGCACTGCTATGCATAAAGTATTGTACATTTTTTTATTATCACTAGATATGCATCAATTTGGGTTTTGAAGGCTGATACGGGTTTTCAGGAAAACTAAAAGATCTTGTATTTAATCTCAGAATTCTCGGAAGTCAGTCGGAGAGGGGAGAGCGGGCAGTAGAGGGCGACAACGTCCTCTGCTGCCCGCGGATAAACGGAGAAGGAAGTGACGCGCCACCATCAGCGTCAGCCTGAGGAAGCCTGCGGCCGCCGGCGAAGCATAGCGACAAAACAGGTAACGAAACCGTTTCTGTGTTTTAAAAAAGAACGACTGCATGGAATTAGAACTAACACACAGCAAGAACACACCTAAGATCTCAGAATTCTGTTTTATAATTTGTTAATTCAAACTAAAATACATACGTTTTTCTTTTCTATTAAAGATCTGTCAAATCTGTCCCCAAATATTCTTCTTACACACAAAGGGACACGTGTGCAAAACTAAATGAGTACTCTTTATCTCCTTCAGTTTACGGGTCATTCTTCATTCAGACTTTCAGTTTGCTTTGTCTAGTTGTCATTAAAACACTAACGGCTCTTCCTAGATACTCACAAGTGTCCTTTTAGGAACGTTTCATTCATCTTTTCCCTTTAACATTCCCAAAGGAACACACACAAAGCAGGATAATCTCTTCAGATCTAGATCTGACTTCTTTTTGACTTTTGAGTCTTTGATAAAAATCTTAAAGACTGACTTCTTTTCTTTTGACATCATCAAAGCCCACCAGTGCTCTCTAACAGTCCGTAATTGCTGCAAAAACCCCTTTTATGGTCCGTGGTTGAGGAAAAACACTTCTTTAGCTGGTGTAATTCCAAGTCTCCAGTTATTCTATAAAATCGGACGTGTGCACTGCTACGTTCACCCTTTGAGCTTTACAGTTTGCCCAGTTATGAGGATTGCAAGGAGCTGCCAGTCAAGTAGGCAGCTAAGGTATGTTGTTATCACTGACTTAACTCTTGCCGGGAACTAGGCAATGTCCCAGATGAGAGCATTAATGATTTATAAACTCCTTTCAACCACACACACACAATGGTCTGTGCAGCGAGGACGTTTGATCAGAACATTTCAAACGTTTTGTTTGGTTTATTAAAGTGTAAAAAAGAGGAAAAGGCCACCTCTGCAGGAATGATTTCTGTACCAAAAAGTCCCACTCTGGATCAGAGAGCCACTCTCTGAGTGTGTGTGTGTGCAATCCCACAACAGATGGACACACACTTCATTCAGTTCTTCACTGAAACGTCAACATGGAAATCATTAAAGTAAGCCATCCTTCTCCCTCAGGTCTGTCTGCGTGCATCCAGCTCCCAACACACTCCCCAAAATAAGTAAAGTATCTCCTTACCTCCACCTAATCTCCCGTTTCCTGTGTGTGTCCCTCCTAATTCCCAGTGGTTACTAAAACAGCCCGCGTGGATCCCCTTCGGCTGAAAGACAGGGAAATCCCTGCATCAGTCAGACATCCCTTCGACTCCGGCGAAGCTTTTCACTCCACACACACTCACACACACCAGAACACACACTCACATACTGCTACTTGCATGCTTCAACCAGACTGTGGGCTGTGTGGAGGGTGTGTGTGCAGAGCCTGAATCTGAGCCCGCCTCTCTCTCTCTCTCTCTCTCTCTCTCTCTCTCTCTCTCTCTCTCTCTCTCTCTCTCTCTCTCTCTCTCTCTCTCTCTCTCTCTCTCTCTCTCTCTCTCTCTCTCTCTCTCTCTCTCTCTCTCTCTCTCTCTCTCTCTCTCTCTCTCTCTCTCTCTTCTCCCTCCCTCCCTCCCCCTCCTGGCACTTGACTGGCAGCATGTGTGCTGTGTTTGTGCCTCTGATCCTTTTAGATGCTCCAGTCTTCTGTCTAAGTCCTGGCTCTCTAAACTCAACTTCGGCGCACAAACAAAGACAAAAAGATACAATGAACAAGCTCTCGCTCAAGCAAGTTTATTTTCCTTTTTTTTCTGTGTATATGAGCACAATGACATGTTTTCAAATGTAAACCAACACAATTAAAGAAGTTTATGTTTGAGTTGTGGTTTTTCGTCCTAAACACAGCGAGGAGCTTGTTTTCACCTTAGCTGACATGTTTTGGCGTCCGCTACCGCCTTCATCAGAGCTGTCACTGATGTTGGTGGTGTCACTTCTGTTTATCTGCTCACCTTCTGCATTGATGACCATGTCCCATGAGTGGTCCAGCGTGTATGCTCCTTTGTCCTCATGGTCCTGAGTCCACGTCTCCTTATCTCGATCGCTTTTTTACCCAGTCCAGTCCATCACATGGTTTTCTCTTGTAGGCTACATATGGCTGATGTATTTATTGTGCTTTCTGCCTCTTGTTTTGCTGCTCGTGTGCCTTCGACTTGAAAATCATCTTATCAGAAGAAGTGATATTTTCAGAAGTTGGGACAAGTGTGGAAAACCACATGTAGCATTACGGCCTTTACTGTTTAAGGGGCTAAGCTTTGAGAGTCGTATAACCTCTGTCAGACCTCCCCAGGGCGGCTGTGGCTACAAGTAGCTTACCATCACTAGCAGTGTGTGAATGTGAGAGTGTGTGAAAAAGCGTCTTTGGGTGTCTAGAAAAGCGCTATATAAGTTCAATGCATTATTATTTATTATTATTACTCATGTTAATTATTCAGCAAATCAGAACAAAGCTTTATATAATTATAATTATAGAATTAACTAATGGCACCTCACTGATCTCAAAAACGACTACGATAAAAACCGAGTTCCTTTAGTTTATTTTTGTAATTTTTGTTGTAAAATGATTGACCAAATAAAGTTATGGATAACAGTTGTGTTTCCACTGTAAGGGTTCTTTACAGTATGCTCTAATGGGAAATGGGCTTCAACTCAAACGGTTGTTTTCCGCTTGGTCCTAGAGCGCAACCACCAGTGTTGGGAACGTTACTTTAAAAAAGTAATTAGTTATAGTTACTGATTACTTTGTCAAAAAAGTAACTCAGTTACTAACTGAGTTACAAGATCATAAAAGTAACTAATTACCAACAAAAGTAACTACTTAGTTACTTTTTTCATTAAAGCATGCAAGAATTACTACAATAGTAAAATATAAATGACTAATGACTGAACATAATAAAATGTATGTCCAAATGTTTTATATAAACCTGAATAATTTAAACAAATAAGCACTTAACAGGAGGAACTACTAATAGGAACATTACACTAATCTAGACTATTAAAAGGTCACTGTGTGATATTTAACAAAAACCCAATCAGCTAAAATTTAAAATTGCGAATAGAAACACCTGTAAAGGTTCCCGAGCCTTTAAATGGTCTCTCAGTCTAGTTAAATTACAGAAATAAATGTAATTTTGCACAGTGTTCTGATTTTTCTAGCTTCACATAATTGTGTGTTTTTAGTAGCATTTCTGTTGCTACTAATCTAGTAACGGTTAAATAAATAAATAAATATCCTTTAAAATGACACTAGAAGAGGCACAAGCCTGATGGAGGACTTACATTTACTAACTTGGGTCAGACCCAAACACAGAAGAGCTGAAGCTGGGTGGTGAACACACACACAGGTAGTTCTAATAACACCTGAGCTCCATGACGTTTGAGACCGATGCATCAGTGTTACAGCGGGACTAAAGACATGATCAGAAACAGGTTACAGCTGGATGATCTAGGAAGGTAGAAGATCAGGACGTCTGAGCGGTGAACAGGTGAGCGGACCTTCGGGACGTCCCGCTGTCATGCTAAGGGCACGGCTGCAGACCCGCAGATTCGCTGCTGCAGCAACAAATCTGCGGGTCTGCAGCCGTAGACTATTCATCACGTCTTCCTCGTTCTTCACGGGCCATAATGCTCTTAAACATCTGCCTCTTTAGCTCCTGATCAGCTGACGACAGCTTCAACACACCGCGCTGCTTAACGCACGCATTTCCTTACCAGTAACAGGAACAACGTTTTGATAAAAGAAGACGTAATTAATTAGTTTGCTTGTTACAGAAAGACATATTTTTTATTAACGCGGTTATTTTAAACGGAGTTATTCCCGTTGTGTCTACAGAATGCAGTGACTGAGACCGTGAGGGTCTCCGCCCACCCGGCCAATCATCATCGTGTTTGTAAGAGCGTTACCGACACCTCTCTCTCCCTGGCTGCAGCTGAAGTGTGGCGGTCGGAAAGCCTCACACTGTTGCTCAACGTTCGACAAGCACATAGTAACGCACAGCGTTCCGTCCCCAGTAACGGTAACGGCGTTGCAACGGCGGGAAAAGTAATTAATTAGATTATTCCGTTACCTCTAAAAGAACGCTGTTAGAAACGCCGTTATACTTAAACGGCGTTACTCCCAACACTGGCAACCACTGTCAATTTAATATACCGTAACATTGTTTTTAGATGGTAAAAAGTGCAGGGGTCAAAACTTGACTTTGGAAAAAGTGGGGGGACATGTCCCCTCCCCCCCCCCCAAATTACGTCCATGCTCTCAGCCATTGTGTCTCCATATAAAATCGTCCCTACGAGGATATTTTTAAGAAGCCAGAATTATTGACACTGTTTTAGTGAGTGATGTCACTGATCCGCCCCAAAAGGCGTCCACGGGCATTAAAATAAATTAAAGTTTAATTCTGTTAAAGTACGCCATGACCTAATCTGTTTGGGGAATGGCGGTTGTGTGACTTAAAAGGTGGTGTTCAGTGACCAGAAGAAGTGTTGTTTTTCATGGTGCTCTTTAGGAGACAAAAAAATCAGCGTAAACGGTGGCATTGGGGGCATTTCTGCCTCATTTATTGGGAGTTTAGAAAAGCAAATATTTAAAGCAGCATCGCAACTGCTTAATTTCTTTTCCTTCCACTCTGCTTCACCAGCAACTCTTCCAATTTTATTAGTGCCTGTTGTTTGGCGACGTCTGCTGTTGTCAGTTTCTACTGAGTTTCAACCAATCAGCGTGAGCTAGTCCCACCCAGCGACTCTACCGGGCCATTTCTGAGCACATACCCTAGCTCGGACTGTGAAAATGGTCCTTTAGGGCCAGCCTGGTGAAATGGAGACACCAGCATAACATAGTGGTTAACCGGGAGGTTCCAATAGTGAAAACGGGCCTGATGTTTCCTCTGGACTATAAAGAAGAGGAACCACTCAGCTTGTTACTATCACACAGTGAAAACCCAGCATTTATCTATGATGATGGAACAATGCACAAAATATGAAACTTCTGTGATCATATCGCTAATGTTATTTCTCATTTCAATAGATTTAAATGAAACGTTCGTTATACGTATATTTCAAAAACGTTTGGAGTTTACCCTGATGAAAGATGGCCGCCACAACTTAGCAAACACAAAAATGGCTACAACTCAGTTATTTTCACAGATAATAACCTCAAACCTGGAGTCTTGGAAGCTGAGGGCCATTCACATACAGTGATCCCTCGTTACTTCGCAGTTCGTTTATCGCGGATTCACGACTTCGCGGATTTTTTCTTTGGAGCCTTATTCAAGGGAAATTCGCTGATTTGCGGTATTTTTCACCGATTCGCGGTATTTTTCTATGCGAAATATCAAGAAATTCCTGTTTTTTTTTTCATCAATTTCATCATAAAATGCACTTTTTGTAACAAAACTATAAATAAACCAAGTAAAAAAAATCTATTTAAAGGGAGGGTTTTAAAAGTCTGAATACTGAATACGTACCTGTTAAATAAATACTGTAAATATGGTGCCCCTACTTCGTGGATTTTCACCTATCGCGGCCAGGTCTGGAACGCATCTACCGCAATAAACGAGGGATCACTGTACTCCTAAAAATTTTGCATCAGATCTGGATTAAATGTAACACATTAAGATTTGTTCAAAGTGATTTTTACATATTTCTCAACCTAAGAAGATTTTAGATCAATTCTGCAGCATGAAGGGTGAAACTGTTTTTTCCGAGACTTGATAGATCTTTCTAGAGTTCTGTGAATATTGTTCTTGTGTTTCCTGGTAGAAGAAAAAAGTTAAATTCATTTATGTTCCGATGTGTTTGACTTTTAAGGAACATTATCAGACCTAAACATCTGCTTTGCTGTGAAAATGAAAACTGGGTGTCAGGGATTAAAAAGGGGGTCATGAATGTAATAGATACAGATCTGTGCAACAAAAGGAACCTGACAACCTCCAGAGGGGAGAGTCAGCAAGCTGGTCCCAAAACACAAGGTCACCTTCATACTCAGAGTAGAAACTCGTGTTCACAGATTTTCACCTCCTGGCACACGGTGACATTTCAGCACTTTAGAAACAACAAAACTAGGTGTCTCTCTCTCTCTCACCTCGGTTCTTTCACAGACAGATTATGTGAACTGAATATCTATGCACGCATCTGCAACCTGTCTGGCTGTCGCCGAGCACCTGTCGGCTCGTCAGACCTCACCCTCGACCAGTCTGCCTTTCTCTCTTCTTGGATAAATGGGCTTTTATGTTATATAAGCTGATGGCTGAAATTTGCCTCGTCATGATGGGAGCTGACTGAAACAGGAAATATTAAGCAACCCAGAGGACGAACAGTAGCCGGTTCCCACAAAACAAGGAGATATTGGGCTGTAATGCAATTATCCAGAAGCAGTGGGG